ATATATATATAAAATTCACTGAATCCATTTAGTGTTGCTCGTATGTACATGTGTTTAGGGCTGACCACTTGGGATCAGATAATGTATCAGGGGGCTCATCCCTGGAGAAAACAGGTTCTACATCATTCTGCAACTGTTGACTGGCTGCTCTTTATCTAGGGGTGGGGCCTTGTGAACTTTCCCCCACCCACACGGCATGTCAGCTGGTGCAGTCATTATGCAGCTTGCCTGTCATGTCAGTACTTAATTTTTTTGGCGCTATTTTGAATGGGATTTTTTCCTAATTTCTTTCTCTGAGAGTATATTGCTAATAAATAAAAGGCTACTCTGTTCTATATTGATTTTGTATCCTGCAACTCCATTGTGTTTATTAGATCTAGACGTTTTCTAGTACATTCTATAGGACATTTTAAGTATGGGATCATGTCACCTGGAAACAGGAGTATTTTGATTTCTTCCTTTCCATTTCCTCTTAATGCTTTTCTTTAGTCTAATTGTTACAGTGGGGTCACTGAGCACTGTATAAATATGTGAGGGGAGAGTGTGCATCCTTTTCTCATTCCTGATTTTATTTATTTTAGTTTTTACTATTATTTTTATTTATGTGTATGAGTATATTGCCTGAATGTAAGTGCACCTGTGTCATGCAATGCCTGGGGAGGTCAGAAGAGGAAGGAAAGAAAGCGTGGGGAAAAAGAGAAAGAAGATGGGAAGAAGGGAGGGGTAGGGAAAGGAAGGAAGGAAAAGAAAGGAAAGGAATGGAACAGAGAAATTCACACTAAGATATATCATAATCAAACTTCTGGAAACTAAGACAATGGAAAAATCTAAGAAATATCAAGAGACATCATCTCATCTTTAAGGGAAGCAATTCAAATAACAGTGGCTTTCTCCTCAAAGATCATGACATCAGAAAGAAATGAAAGGCGTGTCCGCCTAGAATTAAAGTTTAAGGGACAATAAATATCAGATAAAACAAAACTCAGTGAAGTTGTTGTCACCAGATCTAACCTAGGAGAGTGCTTATTTTGTCTTTACAAGCAGAAGGAGATTATACAAGAGAAAAAAATGTAAACCAGAAGGAGTAAATATGTCATATTTTTTGGAGGGAAGGGGGAGGGGGGAAGGAAGAAGGAGCAATCACAATGTTGTTAACTCATGGCTCCGTGATTTGCACATCAGCCTGGAAGTGCCATTCTCAGTAAGATTTTAATTCTCATGTAGTACCATAAGCTCCTCCACTCTGTATAAGTTTAACTGGTCAATCATCTGGTCATAGGACCACCCCTGGGAAGGCGGGTTCACCGTCATGTTATGCTAAATAGATGGGTGTAATACCTGGTGCATTAATGGAAATATCAAACTTTTCCTGCTTGGGATCAGGCCTTCCAGTGCAGAATCTCTGGACCATCCACAGTCATGCAGTCTGTAAGTCTTCCTACTTTTCTGAATTCTTCATAAAAACATAATCTTGCCTTTTCTTCACAATCCCTTTTCTAAACACGCTTTCTTTAAGGCTTTGGGCTGCCCCTATCATCTTGTAATTCTTTACTTTCTCTAAAGCTTCCTTCTCCCAGACATGTGGCTGCCAGCCAGCCATGTGTCAGACCCTCACACCGGCTGTAAACCTGCATGGCTTCATGGCTTTCTTTTCTTCTCCCCTCCTTCCTCCACCTCAAGGCAGCTACCAAGATTACCAGCTCACCTGCCCTGAAGATTTTTTCTTTAAAATTCCAATAAAACTGTAAAAGCTTAAGTCTTGTACCAAGGACTTTGCCTTTCGGACTTTACTTTAAAAGCTCCCAGTGCCTTCCAGCTAGGGCAACACTCCCTAAATTGACTAGCTAAACAGATTTGGCTGATGTGGAACTTTTTGAGTCTGAGTGGTGTTTCCCAGTGGTCCAAACTCTGTAACACTTATATAAAAAGCATCTTTTATTTCAGCAGAATTTGCCTGACTTTACAAACAAACTAGAGAAGGAACGAGAGGTTTGCTTAACTAAGATACTCTTCACTATTTTAAACATCATAATTGTCCTAAGAACTGACGGCTATGACTTCCTTCCTTGGTGATTATGTGAGAAGCTCGGTGAGCACAGAACACATTTGGGGAAAGAGAGCACAAGAGGCTGCAGTTTCAGTTGTGTGTACGTATCCCTTCTACTTTAGTGAGTCCCTTATCAACAGTTCTTAAACAGTGTCCTTTATTTTGAGAACCCTGGAGCTTGGGGACAGAGGGGACACATGGATTTATAGCTCTCACTCTAGCATTAATGTGGGTTTTGTACTTCCAACTAAAGATCTTGTGAGGAGGGAGATTTCATGTCTGAGGTCAAGACATGGCAGACAAAGTAAACAGACATATTCAATTTCATACTTACTATTTGTGAAGTCATTTTCAATTTAAATAAAAACAGATCTATTAGGAAAATTTCTATATGGAGTTGCTAGGTGAGTGTACATGCATTTTAATTTTTGATGTATAATTGCAACAGTTCACCATCTCTCTAGAAAACAGTAGAAGCTCTCTGCTTGAAGAAAACATTTCCATGCCAGGGTGTTATCAAAACCACAAAACCACTCTTCTTTGCTCAAGAGCTTCATAATTTTAATTTGCACAAATTTATTACCAATGAAGTTACACATTTATCATATTTGAGGTGTGAAGATGTACTCAATAGTCATTTTTCACAAGGGCTCATCATAACAAACTCTCTGTGAGTAAACACACAGGACAATGCTTCTTCCTCTTGCCATCTATGTTTCCTTTTGCTTTACTCCCAGTTCTTTTCTAGAAATAATTATATTATGTTCTAACTTGTTTCCCATTTCATTATGTTGATTACATCAATCCAAACTGGGTAGGTTCTTTTGGATGACAGATTTATATATTCTTTGACTATTGGTTTGTATTTTCAAGCTTGACTGAAACCCCTGTGACACATATTTCAAACACAGTCACAGTATTATGCTATTAAAAGAAAAGAAGACTCATATAAATCCTTTATCAGAATTTCTCAGACTATTTTGTAAGTGAACCAAGGAGCTTCATCCCTGCACCAAATATTTTACCAACCCCTGGTACACCTGCAATAAACACATTGCCAAGTGTATCAAAGACGTGGGAAAACAGCGAGGGACTCTTTCTAGTTCTTTCCATCTCTTCTCTTAGTTGACTTATTTGATCCATTAATGCCTCAGATTTCTTTCTAAATCCTTCAATAAGGAATTCTTCCTGGACCTATAAAAAAGGAACCATCAGCATTTGAAAAACCTCCAATTATGAAGGTGTATTTAACAACTTTAGCTCAATTACATGTGTCTATCTATCACCTCGGAAGGGGCTTGATATTTTGAGATATTTGCATCTAACAGTGGAAATATCCATGGTTTATGCATATGAGAGATTTCCTCAGAACCTTTTCACAGGGTGAAGAATCTTGTTCCAACACACACACATACACACACACACACACACACACACACACACACACACACACACATAGCCTTTTGGGAAAGAAGGCAAAAGCAAGCCGGCTAGATGATGGCTTCATTTGTCAACACATTTGGGAAGAGGAAACCTCAGTTGGGGAATTTCCTCTACTGGATTGGCCAGTGGGCAAGTTTGTGGGTCATTTTCTTGATTGTTGAGTGATATGGGAGGGCCCAGCCCACTGTGGGATATGCCACTCCCAGGCAGGTGGTCCTGGGTTGTATAAGAAAGCAGGCTGAACAGGACTGGGAAAGCAAGACAGAAAGCAGCATTTCTCCATAATTTCTGCATGAGTTCCTATCTCCCAAGTTCCTGCTTGAGTTCCTGTCCTGATTTTCCTCATTGATGGATTGTGGCCTGGGAGTTATAAGGAGATAAACCCTTTCCTTCCCAAATTGCTTTTAGTTAGTGCTTTGTCACAGCAATAGAAAACTAAGTAAACAGCAGGGGAATTCCAATAGACTCTGAGCTCCAATCAGGTGGCGTCTCCAGGATCATGTAACAGAAATGGAATTGCCAACCTTGTATAGACACTCGCTATTAAACCCCAGGTTAGGTGAAATAGTTTATTTTACTCTTGTTCAGGATGATTCAGTCACACGTGGAAACAAAAGGGGGCAATTTCTGACATTTCAGAATCCTATATTTTATTTTTGTTTTTAATTAGTTAATTTGTGTGTGTCTGTGGGCACATGCACATGTGTAGGTTCATACACTTGTATGTGTTTGTGGTACATGTGGAGGTCAGAGTTTGAGGTCAACTCACTTTTAAGATAAGGACTCTTGGGGCTGGAGAGATGGCTCAGCAGTTAAGAGCACTGACTGCTCTGGCAGAGGACCCAGGTTCGATTCCCAGCACCCACATGGAACCTACGAACCATCCTTAACTCCAGTTCCTGGGGAATCTGAAGCCCTCTTCTGACATCTGCCACACTGCATGACACGGGTGCACTCATATACATGCAGGCAGTACACTCATGCACATAAAATTAGAAGAAGAAAAAAAAAAAAGATAAGCACTCTCCATAAAGAAGGAGCATGCTGGTTTGGCTAGGCTGGCTGGCCAGGAAGCCCCAGGGCTCCTCCTGCCTATTCCCCATAAGCACTGGGGTGTATGGTGTATGTCAGTGCTTCCTGTCTTTTATGTGGGTTCTGAGCATCCAAACACAGGTCCTCATGTTTGCACAGTAAGAGCTATTCTGATGGAGCCATCTCCCAAGCCATCACCATCTCCTATTTGTGCCAAATCTGATCTATCCAGACAAGATGGATCTACCTCATGTCTCTTTTAAAGAAGGTTGTGTCTAGAATTTGAAGGACTAGTGGAAAACATTCTATTCAACTGTAGCACAAGAAGACCATCCTTAAAAACTAACAAAAGATGAGGAAGCTGATCAATATATACTATATAAAACTCTCAAAGAATTAATAAAAATGGTACAAAGAAATTTCAATAAAAACAGCTCAGAACCCAGGGGACAATACTTGCACCCTCCCAAGTCTAACACTGCACAGGTGCTGGGGTTCTGTTTACTCACACGGCCTTCAGTAGGATCCAGGTGGACTTTACTGAAACATTCACAGTTGGGTGTTGTATGCCTGGGCCTAAGAGTTTGGTCCTTTCCTCATGAGGAGCCATAGCACTGTTTGTCAGGCACTGCCAGGCCCCATCCACACTCACCTTCAGCTTGTGCTCCAGCATCTTCTCCTGCTCTCTCAGAAGCATCGCCCTTTCCCTCTCCATCTTCTCCTGAAGTTGTGCGATGTTTTCTCGGAAGCTTCTCTCTTGAGCCTCCATCATTTGCTGCTGTTCCTTCTGCTTCTCTCTCAGCAGCTCCTGCTCCTTCTCAGCTGTCTCCTTCTTGGTCCGCTCAGCTGTTCCACAGAGGTTTGAGAGAGGGAAGAAACAACACTCAGAACTGAGCAATACTCTCTTGGGCTCGGAGGAAATCTCTGAATATTCCCAGTAGCCATGCTGGCAGGATCATGATTCTGAACATGACAGGAGCAAACTGATTGACTGAAATGCATCACCAAAACCCCTTAGTCTTTGCAAACTTAGAGGATGTCATGTTCCATGGCAGGAGGAGGATTCTTGCTTTAGGAGAATTTTCCTGTCAGTCAGCCAGAGGGCTTTTTGGGAATCTATCCACCTTTCAAGAGTTTATCCCAACCCTGTACCTGCTATGGCCCTTTGTGAATCAGTAAGGGCTTTGTCTGACTGCAGGATGGAGAGCTCTAGAGCAGCCTGTGACTGAAGAAAGCTCTGGAGGACATCATTTGCCTGGGAAGCCAGGAAGGAAAAATATAACAGAAGTAGTAATAATTTAGTCTACTGATGAGGTAGTTATTGTTTAATAAAATATCTAATGTGATTATAAATTTTGAGTCCATCTTAAGTCCCCACAGGGTTGTCTTAATTCTGTTACCACAACAAAGCTGTGCTCTTTCAAGACATGAAAACCCTCTGCAGCAGCCGCCCTGCCAGGTCTCCAACCTCAGGTCCCAGCGACAATGCCCACCAGTCACCCCAGGGCATAGCCCCAACCGGATTTATAGTCAGTTCCACAAGCACACCTCCTCCACTGTTGCCCATATGTGTGCATATTTTGTCTTCTGCCGTGACAAGTGTTCCATTCTTTCTTAGCTAAGGAAACATCTGCAGACACTTCCACTTGTGTCTCTGATGTCTTGCAGCAACTTTTCTAGGCTGCTTTCTTTGTTGTTGAGATATTATTAACAAAGGAAGAGTCTATGTTTAAGCTATGTAACACAATATTTTGATTTATTACTGCAAAATGATTACAGTAATCAAAAGAGTTTACATATCAATCTCCTCAAATAGTTACCTTTTTGTTTGATCACTTCTGGCCACCTGTTTCAATAACTTAATACAATAGATTATTTTCATTATAGTCACCACTTGGTTTCCAAAACTTATGCATCTTATTACTGCATGTTTTTATCATTTGACAATGTCTACTTTTCCCTCTACCTTCAGTCCCTGGCAATTACCTTTCTCTCTTCTCTCTCTCTCTCTCCTTCTCCCTCTCCCTCTCTCTCTCTCTCCCTCCCTCCATTGAAGTTGTATTGTGCAGTATTTGTATCTGTGTCTGACTCATTTTAATTAACAATGTCCTCAAGACTCATTTATATTGTCACACAGCACTTATTCTTGTTGTTGTTGTTTTATAGAGACAGGATCGTACTATGTGGCCCTTACGGACCAGGAACTCTCTATGTAAACAAGATTGACCTTGGACTCACAGAGATCTGCCTTCCCAGTGCTGGGACTAAAGGCATGTACCACTCCCATCTTGGCAGCATTGTTTTAAAGCTGAATCATAGTGCATCATATTTATATTAAGATAGATGATAGATGGATATATATATATATATATATATGATCAATTGGTATTTTAGTATAAGATAGGTTCATTAGTATAAACAGCACAGTACTAACATAAAAACAGGCATGTAGACCAATGGAAAGGAATAGAGAACCAGAAAAGAATAAAATTAGTCTCCTATCTTATCCTTCACATATAAGCAAACTAAAACTGGATTAAAGATTTGAACTTAAGAACTGATACTTTCAACCTCGTAGAATGAACCTTAGGAGAAATGCGCTTCTGACATTGGTGTTTGCAGTGATCTGGGGGATACAACACCAAAGGCATAGGCACACAAATGAGGGAGACTGCCATCAATCAAAACTTTACTACAGGAGGCAATCAACAAAATGGAAGGTGGCACTGGATGAGAGAAAATATGTTCATGCCATGCATGTGAGAAGGAATTAACATGCAAAGAACACGAAGAAGTCACACAGCATAATAGGAAAGAAAAAATGCTTAAAGTGGGCAATAGCCAGAAGAGATACTTTTCAAAACAAGAAATTCAAATGGCCAACAGGTATCTGTAAAAGTGCTCAATATCACTAATCCGTGAAATACAAAGAAAAGCCACAGTAGGATCCTGCCTCACACTTGCTAACATACTTATTATCAAAATTCAAAAGACACTGAATGTGGTTAAGTTTGTAGAAGATAACAGAACCCTTGTGCATCTCTTAGTGAAATGGAAACTGGTTAGTCACTATACAAACTGCATAAAGAATCCTCAAAAGAATAACAACCTGAGTCTCTAATGGCTGAATTCTCAGCTCTACCAATGAATGGGCATGTAATCACAGACATATTGGATCACCTCTGCATTACATTTCTCCACTGCATGATAGAGGAAGACAGTACTATCTAGTTTATATTTTTCTGAGAACTGAATTAGTAATAATCCCTGGTGCGGAAAATGTACGCTTATGTTTGTTAACCACGAGGCTCATTTTCACCCTCACTGTTGCTGTCAGTACATAACACTTATCCCAGCTGTGTGCAAAGCCCCTCTAGCTGTGCTCTGTGTCCCAGCCCCACTCCCATTCCTCACCTTAACTCCTTTCCTGGGTACCCACTCATAACTCTGCTCAACCTTCTTCTTGGCTTCTAAGTAGAGGCTGTGCCCTCCAGGAACAGAGAAAGCTCCTCTGGAAATGCTTTCCATGAGGGGCCCCGAAAGCTTCTGCAGCTCAGCCTGGCAGCGTGTGATGGATGCTTTTTCATTCTGCAGCAAGAAATCGTTCTTCCTTGTCTCTATGGTGACCTGCCAGGCCAGGGAGAGGAAGAAATGCAAACAAGCTGTGAGAAGGAAGGGGTGACATCATCCTCCCAGAAAAGAAGTGTGGTGGCCTCAGAGTGGACTGGGAAGGGGCAGGAGAAGATCAGCTTTACTTTAGCTTAAGTTCTGATAAATTTTGAATGACTTCTGAAAACCTTTTACCTTCTTTCTGTTCAATCTCAACAGCTGTGACTTGGAGTTGAATTTTGTAAAGTTTACACTTCACTCAGAGACCCAAACACTAACAATGAACAGCATGAAACTAAGTTTTGGCCAGAAGTAAAATTTCCTCTGAGAATGTACGTTAATATGGTAAAAAAAAAAAACTAGTTCTTCAGAGATGAGTTAAGTGTACTCTGTACAGTTTTGAACCCTTCATGAAATCTTTCCGTGATAATTGGAATGTGTAAGGATATTGGAACAGGTATCATTTGTTTCTTTTTTTTTTTTTTTCATGTGTATGAGTGTATTGCCTATGTGTATATAAATGCACCTGTGTTGTGCAATGCCCATGGAGGTCAGAAGAGGGCCTCAGATCCCCTGGAACTGGAGTTACAGACAGTTGTTAGCTGCCATGTGGGTGCTGGGATTCAAACCTGGGTCTTCTGCAAGAACTCAGTGTTCTTAACCACTGAGCCATCTTTCCAGACCCCATTTGTTTCTTTAACTTTATACTTGTAAATTACAATCCTACTGGATTTATGCTTGTATATTTATACTTATAAATTACAATCCTAATGAATTTATACTTATAAATTACAATCTACCTGATTAATTTTGTACTTACATTTATACTTATAAATTACAATCTTACTGGATTTCCTCAATATGAAGTAAAAGATTTTTCCCCTTTTGGAGGTCAAACCCAGATAGACTGAAAAGACCAACTTGCAGTGAAACAGCCTCTGGCCTGGTGAATTAGGAGGCATCCTGAGAGCCCTTTCTTGGTGTCCACACCTTTATCGTCCCTGAGCTTGTGAATAACATAGATATTAATCCTATGTTTACGTTATATTATATAGCACAGGATGACTTTAAGAAATTCAAAGTACCCTGCTGTGTTTTAACTAATCACATGAGCCCTTCCCAACACCAGTTTTGTCTGAATGTAGCAGAAGAAAAATTAGAAAGTCTAGAAACAAGAAAATTATCTCCTGTACCCTTGCTTGCTCAAGAGGGAACTTCCCATGGGCATACAGATGTGAAGTAAGTGCACTTGACACCCTGTGTTCAGTTTGGGGTGCAGTGTACAGAGACCCATAAAACCTCTGCAACACCTCTGTTGTGAGCTAATACAATGCCTGTTGTTTTCAGGCGCTAGCACATAATAACTTGTTTTGTAGCAAAACAAACAAACATACGAAAAAGAATTAAGTGCTATCTTTTGGAGAAAAGGTGAAGCCTGGAGACCTCAGTCACTCTAAAGATTCCAATGAGAAAGATGCAGGCCATGACTCAAAAAGGTAGAGTCTAAGCCTCGGGTCAGAAGTGCAGGGATCAGGAAGGATAAATGTTAAGATGTGTTACCACCAGGCTCTTCTGGAACTCCCGCTCATCATCCTTGAAGGAATGCTCCATGAAGACAGCAATGGCTTCCTTCTCACAGGCTCTGTGCACATCCAGTAGTTCCTGGAGTGTGTCTGTGGGGAGATTCATGCGCTGGACCATCAGCTTGCTGTAGTGGTCAGCTGCCTTCTGCACAGCGGCTGAGTTCTCACGCTGGGCCAGGGTCATCACTGCATTCTCCAAACAAGGCACGGCCCCACTGTTGATGGCATCCACGTAGGTCTTCACCAGACTCCCCAGCCCTGAGTGACAGGAATTTAAGAAAGAAATAAGAAGTTCTCACTCATTGTTTGTGTAAGATTTTGGCCTACTGTTATAAAAATTAACAAAAATCTTATTGGTCTTCAAGTTTTATTCTCCTCTTTCTGCTTCCTACTGCTCCTAATTTTTCTGGTCCTCTATGAATCAAGATCCATTTTATAACATAGTTTCCTTTGTGGATCTTAACTTCACCATGTTAAAAAATTAAATTACTGATTGTCATCAAGAGGTTTAAGGCCTTCTGGGGAAAAACAAAAAACAAAAAAAAACCTCTACCATTTAAAGAAAAAAAAAGTTTATTACACAGAGAAAGTAAATTATATTGTGTATGTAAAATATATTGTGAGTCCTAATTCCAAATGCAAATTCATATCTTCTTGGGAAAAAATATCAACAGAAACATGAAGACAGCAGCACAGAACATGGAAACAAGTGTGGACCCATCTCACAGGGGAACATATGATGATGCAGGTCGAATATCCATGGGACCTGCTATGTTTAAAATTTGTCTCTGAAATTGCTTGGGGCTCATGACCTGCTACCTGTATCTTGACTGATGACAATTCATAAAATAATTTGTATATTCAAGTTGAGAACTTCTCTTCCCATAGGACTCCAATCATCTTGCACATTTCTGTCCCTAGCTATCATTTGCACTTGTCTCTTTATTGTATTAGTTGTCTGGGATATGGTAAGTATCAATACATCTTCATACACAGAAACGTTGATTATTGACCAGGTATTCATATGTGTTGAATGAACATCTGTTTCTTCTTACTCCTTTACATAAGGAAACAAAAATTTCCAAGACCTCAAAAGAATCAGTTTCCTCATACATTCTAAGCTACAGAGACATGCTTAAAACAAAAGAAACTCACGGTTTCCAGTGACAGCAATTCCCCCTCTCAGAGTTTTGATCTTTGCATTGGTGAAGATATAGGAACAAAACTTTTTTGATTTGACCTGGAAATCCCATTCCAATTGGTTTTCTGGAACTTTTTCAATTTGGGCTAATAAATTTTTGTCACTTGTAGGACGGTCAAAGACAAAGCATTTCCGTTCTGGAAAGAAATATCTGATGCATTCTCTAGTCAGGTTGGCATTTTGGACTCCGGGATTCTTTCCTGTAAAAAGAGCACACACTGAAGAGATAGCAGGCGGACGTGGTGACCGACAACTGTCAACAATGTCTACGTGTCATAGCTCGGTGCTTGTAAATCTTCCTTCATCCAACTATACCAATGTTTGGACGTTAGCTATTCAGTGGAGGGAACATGGGGCTCTGGATTGAGCTCAGAGTGAGGTAAGACTTCTGGATAGGGAAGTATTCATCTCAAAGGAGACAATTGGTTTCCTTAGTCATCATATACTGGAAGATGGATAGAATGATTATTAAGAACTTGGAATGAATGATTCACCAAAGAATTATCACCAAATAATCTTCTGATATTCCAGCTCACTTTAGAACTGAGACCTAGGCTCAAAAGCAATGCTAAAAATAAGCATAAAATATAGATGGAAAAAAAGACATTGATGATTCCCCAGTTGGTAAAGAAAAAGGCCTGAAATCAGAGTCATAACATACACAGTCACAATTATGTTTAGAAAGTTTTTTAGTGCAAAGCTCCAATGTTAACTGATTGATTTGGAGACCTCAATATTTAATGATTATATTGAACCTGATATGTCTGTGCAGAGACTCTGGCAAAAATCTTCTCTTTAAAACAAATATTTGTACAAAGGGTAGAAAAATGAATGAAGAAAAATGGGAATTGACTCTACGTACCACTACTTACCTATTTTACTAAATATAATTCATGGAATTAATTTGTAATATTAATATTGCAATATACTGTATTAAGTATGAAGGAAGAAAAGTGAAAATATTCACATTATTAAAAGCACATGTCTGGTGTGCCCCTCCAAAACTATCTAGTGTTTACATATCCATTCCTCCATATTTGGGCTAGCAAATTAGATCAAATTAAGTAAAAACTTAATTCAGGGGGCTGGAGAGATGGCTCAGTGGTTAAGAGCACTGACTGCTTTATCAGAGGACCCAGTCAAAACTGTCAAAATCATGGCCACCTATCAATTGACAATCACCACTAACAAGGGTTACAATCCAGACTCAAACACCCATGTCAAGTGCTGAGCAGGGTTTAGTTGGTCCCACGTCCCTGTTGCACCTTCCCCCACCCAGGCCAGGCTCTGATACCTGGAATCAGCTTCAGCGCATTCTCCAGATACTCATCTTCTGTGATGGGGCGTCCATCTAACTTCAGCTCCAGAGTGAAATCCCGAACAGTCCAGACAAAGTTTGGAAAGAAACTCACGAACTCACTGGAGTCCCCTGCTTCATCATGGCTGGGGCTGGATTTTGCCCTGATTCGCTGTGTCAGTTCAGTCACATAGCTGGCATCTTAGCTAAGGAAATGAAACAAAATAACTTCCCGATCTCAGAAGCAAGTATTATAGACATTCTGCGTGCACTCAATCGAGACAGCTAAGTTAGAGCAAAAAGACACAAGTTACCATCCTGCTCAATGCAAAGAAACATGAGGTTAGGACCCTGGAAGGATACTGCAGCTGCTCCAGGGCCTGGTGGTTGATGGTGCCTATGCTGTTGTAGACAAAGGTGCTGCTCAGAAGCACGGCCAGGGCAAAGATCCAGGAGTCATTCTTAGGGTCCCCCTGGAAGACACAGAAGAATGAGGGAATTAGGAGTCTAACACTCATTCATTCATCTATTTGTTCTTTCAGATACACTATAACTGAATCTGAGAGAAATAACAATTTGAAGCGAATACTAAATTCAAACTCATTACTGATATTTATATTGATCCCTATCATGACATTAGCTATTAAGTTAGCTGATAGGACTTGGAGGTTTCTCAGTGGTAGAGATCTTGAATAGCATGTACAAGGTTTGGTTTCCAGCAGGAAACAAAATGCTCAATGCATATAAAAAATTCTCACGTGTATAAAAATATTTCATAAGTATCTGGAACATATTAGGCATCTATAATAAGTGGCCAATTACTCCTTTATAAATTTCATCTTCATTATAGATATACTAGGAATGCAAATGCTATTCAATTAAGTTTGGCAAATCTTTACTGAGTCTCTGACAAACTAAGATCTTGCATTTGGTTTTCTAGACATCAATTTCCATGTGGGTGCCCTAAGGAAGATTACTTTCCAAAGTGGCAAATAAATATTTCAACATATAAATACAACCACACAATGATAATCTCTTCCAGGAGTGGAAACAAAATTACAAAGTAACAAAGAAATTGGAGAAAGAAGGCCCATAGAGGGGAAAAAAGAAATCCTTACATTGCAAAAGATTGGGCCTCACCTTTTCCACGTCCCCCAGGCCCTCAGTGTCCAGGAGGACCAGGGTATAGTTTGGATTAGTGGGGTGGGGCACACACCACATCCAGATGCCCTTGGTTTCAGACTGCACAGTGGAGCCCAGAGGGAAGCCTAAAGGGAGGAAGAGAAACAACAGGAAGTCAGAGCAGGAAGACCAAGATTTGTTAGAGTGGGGAGAATGTTTAAAAAATGTCAAGGGAAGAGTTTGCTGCTATTTCAGCAAGTCAATGAGTTCAGGCTTTATCCATGCATCCAAGACTTTCCAAGAAACATTTT